CATCCTTGGACATTTAAGAGGTGGTATGTGTTTGTTTTCTAGAACAGCTGGGGCATTAATAAAGGTAGTCCATCCTAGCCAGTTCTAAAAAAATCTAAATAACTATTTTGCACACGTGTCGTGAATTTGACCTGGTGAATTCTCTCTGGCTTCTTTCAGCTGTTTTGCAGGCGCGGCCTCTTATCTGCTCTCCCTCTGCTCCCACGGGGAGCTCGCATGCTCTTCCTCCCCGTCTTAGGGATGGAGGTTAGTGGATTCCTCTTGTCCTCGCTCTGGGGACCATCAGAAAGAGACAAAGAAAGAGGACTTTGTCTTCAGACAATATAGGAGCTCACTGAGGGAAAACATAGACAGATGGAAGAAATTCGAAGGCAATCAAAGACGTCACCAAGGGTGACAAAATGCATCAGAACACAATGAGAAAAATAATGCCCCACAAAGTGTTTCAGTTTAAAAGTGAATGAGCTTTGTCTGCGCAGAGCAAGGCATAGTGATAAGGTCCTAGCTGTCCGCAGGAATATTCCAAAGGGAATCTTCCTGAAGAAGCTGTTGGACTCAAATCACTCTGGATCCACCCCTTGGGCATAGGTTCCTTAGGACACCATGGAGTTTGTCCTGGTGGCTACCAGTGACTGATCTCAGTCTTTCCACCTCCTGCTGAAAATCGGGTGTGTATTCAACACTGGCATTTCTCGCTGACTGAACTGAGACCTGCAGTTAACCCACATGACTGTGTTTACTCCTCCCAAGTGCCCCATGAGAATGGCTGATCAGCCCCTTCCTAGGATGAGGGAGCAGAGAGGCACAGGTAGGAGAAGGCTCCTGCCCAGACACATGAGTGGTGGAGTGGCCCTTGACCCAGGCCCCGCGTGCCTGTCGCTGCTTGGCAGAGTGAAGAGTCCACTGACGCGAAGGCAGCACTCAACGTGGGAGAAAAAACCCAACCACATTCGAAATGTGTTCAGTTCCCGCCCACATGTCACGCGTGCGTAATGGTCATTCCTGTTTCGTGACTATTTCATAAACTCTTATTATACGAGTTTTGGTAGGACTGCCAGGGCTGGCAAATCCTGCCAAAGAAGAAAGGTTTTGTTTTGGGGGGATAATAGAATTTTCATACATCTTCTTTCTTGTCTTCTATGATAGATTGTTTAAGATCTTTTGCCCTCTTAGTACGTTGTGTATAATTGGTAGGTACATAATATAGACTTGTTTCATAAATGTACCAACACGTTACTTTTTCTCAGAATATGCATTTCTGCTACTTAGTCTCCGGAAGTCTCCGGAAGTCTTAGTCAGCGGAAGTCTCTCTATCCCTGAGTCTCCGTCACTTACTCAGTGACTGTTTATTGAGCGCCTACTAAGCCCTGGGCACTGTCCAAGGAACTAGAGAGGAACTGATGAACCACACACAGGCCTCATTCTCACGGAGGGTGCCCCGTGCTGGGAACATCACCTGGAGAAGACAGCAGACTCCAGCGTGAACATGATGGAGCAGGGGCTGGGGAGGGAGAATTCTCAGGAGCCACGTGTAAGGTGTTTCCAAGAGCGCAGCTAGCGGAGGGAGACCTCGGCCACAGAGGCTGAGAAGGGAGGGCTGTGGGGGGACACCAGGAAGGTGGTGCTTTTGAAGCTTCCAGGAGGGGTGATCCGTAGTGGCCAGCGGTGCTTGAAGGCTGGAGGAAGTGATGGTGGGGTTAGTGTGCATAGGTCGCTGGTGACCTTGGCTGGCCGTGAACGGTGGGGCAGAAGCTCCATCTCAGCAGGCTGTGGAGAGACAAGAACTGAGATGGGAGAGACCCCGCTGATGCTTGGCTGGGAAGGCAGGAGCGGGAGGCAGTGTGTTTGGCATGTTTGAACAAGTGGACCACAGATTTGCCCTGTCGACTCCTGCACTTAGTCCTGAACCTCCCTGAGTCTTGGCACTTGGACCGCAGGTGTGTCTTAGGGCAAGGCCCAGGGACGCTTCGATTCTTCCTGCTGGACCGTGGCTTCCCCCCATCTCTGCTGCTTTCCCTTTTAAAGGTTTAACTTCAAAGCCCTTTCCCCTGTCACTCAAGACACTTTAAGAAAAAAATCATGCATTTCTGCATCCCTCCGTGTGGAGCATGGATAATATCTTTCTTACACGCTTCTGAGTCACTTTTAGTGGTGCTGTGTGAGCGCAAAACATTCCACGAATTTGAAGCTGTGTGTGTATATGCAGTGTCTCTTGTAGGCTGAACGAAGTGTTCTGGGGTGAGATTGTCATGTGCCTGGCGCAGAACCCAGGAGGCAGGAAGTGATTTTGGAAATGCACGGGATAAAAGAAGCAGCAGATGCCGTTGCCAGCCTGTGGGCTGGGGTCAGGTGTCCGGGAGAAACCTGCACCCGGAGCCTCTGCGTTTCGGTTGTTTTACAGTGGTTCGTGTAAAATTATAAGGCAAGCGGCATTATTGTTATTATTTTTCCTTTTCAGTTGATACTACCTGCAGTGAGGAAGTCACAGCCCTGGGGAGAAATCAACCTGTGAAGTGTCTGTTGGCGGCATTATCAAGCAGGAAAAGGTGTTAGCTTGTTTGCTGCTCAGAAACATGCCTTGCAGCCCAAGCTGGAGTGTTTACTGCTCCCTGGATGTCCGTCCCTTGCCGGACTTTGTGGCTGCCTCATTTATCGGGGTGATTTGTCTCCTCACATCATAGGCCCTAGGAATGAGCGAGGTGGTGGTGACCAGCTTTGCCGAGCTGTTACCCCGAATTGAATTTTCTTGCAGGCTGACTTCTGCTGAATTAGCTGGGGAGGTTGTACAGAATGTCTGGGCAATTAGGAGCTGTCTGTGCAAAACAACACAGCCTGTGTTTTGGGGAGCTTTCTCTGCTTTTGGGCGCCCTGCCTCTGCCAGGTGGGGCCAGTGCGCAGCGTGGCCGGATCGTGAGGACAGGGGTGTGGGCGAGGATGCGGTTCTGATGTGAAGCAGAGGCTGTGGGTCGAATTCCACATTCAGGGAAGAAGAGTGAAATGTCTGCCAAGACAGTTCCCCGTCACTGCGGCCATTATGCCAAGGACAATAGTCTTGTGTCCCCGTCGACCACGCCCGGTTGCGCAGGAGCTCGGGGTGGGGATGCGGAATGCCAGCCTGGGAACCCGGCTGCCAGGCGACCTGGTCTTGGCACAGCGTCCCGCTGGGCTGTTGGCTGTGTGGTGGCCGCCGAGACCCAGGGAACCTTGGCTCTGATGCGAATCTATGCTTTATGATCTGTGACTTTTAATGACTGAGAAAGGGCGCTTCTCACTGCAGTTTTTTCCGGGAGCTCAACCTGTCTTGACTGACAGCTGCACCCTCCTCTCTGAAAAGCCTGAAATTCCCTGACTTGCTTCATGAAGGAATTCTCTTTTAAAAAATTAATTAGTTAATTAATTTTTTAGAGCGAGGGGAAGGGAGGGAGAAAGACAGGGAGAGAAATATTGATCCGTTGCCTTTCATACACACCCCCAACCAACAGGTAAGAACCCGCAATCCAGGCACATGCGTTGACCTGGAATCCAACCAGTGAGGAATCCAACCAGCGACCTTTCACCTTTTGCTTTGCCAATGACGCCCAACCCGCCGGGCCACACCCGTCAAGGCTTGGAAGGAATTCTGTTGTTTTATCCCCGCTTCCTCCTGAAACCTTTAAACCCAGGCTATGGCGGCAGTGATGAGGGCTCAGGGCCCTGTGAGTTCCATCTATTAGCTTCCGTCAGCCGGAACCAGACAGCTGCTGCTAGGACAGTGTCCTCAGTGCTTGACAAGTTGCATTTGGAACTTTATGCGGATGATGGATAAGGTCGGAGCACTTGCTGTTTTCACGGGGACCGGGAGTGATACCGCAATTTAGAAGAAGAAATAGGCAGGGTCCAGCAGAAGCAAGGCTTGCTTGAGTGTGACTGGTAGGATAATAACATGGGTATGATAATTTATAGTTTTAATTTGAATATTTCACCTAAAATGTCATATGGGGCGCTTGAATGTGATAGTGTTACGTTTCAGAATGCCATGCTTATGATTTTGTAATAAAAGATTTTTGAGTAAAAAGGGGTATTCTTTGCGCCGGACCCAATCTATTCTGTCTTCTGGTCTTCAGCCCGGTTCCTGGCAGAGGTCCAGGAACCCTTGGAAGTTCCTCAGTGAAGACAGTGACAATGGAGTCTTTTGTTATTCACAACAAGGCCCTTTCAGCCACACCCTTGGTACGTTAATGAGCTGGCTTTTGGGAAGGGGACCAAAGCTGGCACTCTCAGCCTCACCTCCCACGAGGAGAGTGGCTGGAGGTGGAATCGGTCGCCAATAGATGAAGATTTAATCAGTTATGCCCAGTGACGAGGCCTCCATAAAAATCCTAAATGATAAAATGAAAACAGAATGTGATGAAGGAAGGGGTGGGAACTGCAGAACCGGGAGGACTGACCGGGAAGGGCATCAAGGGACCTTTCAGGAAGAATAGCCTGGTTTGGGTGCCTGCCATGTCTCAAGGCGCTAGTGGAAGATCTGAGATCTTGCATTTTTATTGCATGTAAATTATACCTCATTAAAACTCAAGTGTGATGCTGCAGACAGGTGTTCCCAGGTGCTGTGCAGCAGAAATGTGGGAGCCCCGTGGGGTCAGGATGTCCAAGTGAGATTGGAAAGGTAGGAGCTGGTGACCCCTGGCAGGTGACAGACCTGGACAACAGCCCAGGGGGAGAAAGGGCTCTGCCTTGTTGGTAGCAGTGGCTTTTAAAGGAAATCGCGCTAAGTCGTGGAGTTTGTTTTCTTTAAGGCTTGCTGTGCGTCCGAGGCAAAACAGCACCCCTCCCTGCTCCAGGCTTCGGACTGGGCTGCATTCCGATGTCAACTTCATAACAGCTTTTCAAAATGTTGTCTAATGGATGTTTTTCCAAGTAGTAAATTGTTAGTAGTTAGTTTTTAAAAGAATTATTCAAGAGTATGGCCTTATTCAAGTAACCTGATGGTTTCTCTCTTTTCCCCTTAAAAATAAAAGCTGCAGATTCTCGTTGACACCGGGAGCAGCAACTTCGCCGTGGCTGGTGCACCGCATGCTTACATAGACTCGTACTTTGACACGGAGAGGTGAGTCCTGGGCCTGTGACGGGGCCTGGCCGGGTTTGGGGGCACCACACCCAACTTCAAGGTACCCAGGAGCCAGACAGCCACTGATCTGTTTCATTTTAAGGAAGTTATGTGTATGTGTATAGCACACAGCTATATGCATATATGTTTGTGAGTGTGTGTATAGTGTATGTGTATATGTGTGTATATAATTGTGTGTATGTGTTACGTTTGTGATATGTGTGTATATGTGTCCATTCCAGGGAAATCCATAAGGAATTCTAATAGTCTCTGTACATTTCATGAGATTCACTTTAGATAAATGCAAGTCAGACAGCAGTTTTGTAGGCACACCCGAGCTGTGGGAACGCATGTCCTTTGGTGCTCACCGGGCCCTCTGGCGGCGGGTGGAGGCGGGCTCAGGCAGGGACAGGGGTTCTGGAAGCGTGTATGAGGTTGTCTGGGGCAGGGGCCTGAGCTGATTTGAAAGTCACCTTTGTGTTGCCCGTAGTTTTTATAGGGAATTTCTTTACAATGCCTAGAAATGAAGGACAAGTGTAATGTAACTCACCTACATATGTAATTCTAATTGCCCTGATGTAATTATAGGGGAGAATAAAAGGAGGTCATTTGTAGAGAGGGGATCAGTGCCTCACTACGTGGGCACTCTGGTTCGACTGCAGCAGGAGACACGCGAGGTAGGGGACGCTGTGAACCCCACCCCAGACACAAAGCGCCCAGGGTAGACTGATAAAAAGCAGATTGAGATAGACTCAGGCACCCCAGAGCAGCTTGGGTTCATGATGTGATTTTCCAAATCGGCAAAGAATCTCAGCGAAGCTTCCCCCAGAAACTGCATTGTCAGTTTCATCCCATTGGCACGCCTGTCATTCAGCCTCCGCTGCACCTCCTCATCTGCAAGTATTGCGGAGATTTTCTTTGTCCCTGCAAAACATTCCTCACATCTTGGCCTCTGTCCCCAAAACTGTCTTTCTTGTAAAGAGAGCTGTTCTTCAACACCGAGTTTCTTCTTAGCTGAACTAGGCTAAGGTGGCGCATCTCTGAACCGCAGGCAGGTTCCCTGCTGCCGGCTACGTCCCTGCCACCACGCAGAGAGTCACATCCCCTTCTTTCCTCTCCTGTCCTGCTTTTCCATGCTTTCACACACTTCATGTTAACACAGATTTATTATCGCACAGCTATGAACTATGTATGAATGTAATTCATTCTCTGTGTCAGTTACCTATGATTCACTCATCGGATGCTTTCAGGTCGCTTTGGAGTTGGCCTACGGTACACTTTCCACCGTGGCACTTGACGAAAGCCAAGAGAACATTCTCACTGCTTCTCTCAGTGTTTCCCAAAGGTTTCTGTCTGAGGTGCGGCTCTGGGCTGTGATGTTCCTGCGTTTGCTTGTCTCTCTGATCTCCCTGAGTTATAATAAGGGTTCTGTTGGGTTTTTCAGCCTCTGATTCAAGTCCCCCGGACTTTGGGTGTTCAAGGTTAGTGCTTCCTGAAACATTTGCCCAGTAATTGGAGATCTGGCCTGGGGTTCTTTGACAAGATCCCTTTGATTTATGGCATGAGGCGTCAGGCTGCCGTGAGTCCTTCTGGTGCCTGTTCCCATCAGAAGCCCGTTTCTCGTGGTGGTGAATGTTCAGTGAATTACCGCAGAGCAAAAAGAAGACGGTGTGTTTTGAAAGGGATGGCTTCTTTTTCAGCCAATAAAACAGCCTCCAGCCAGTTGGCTTGATGAGAGAGTCAATACACTCATCCCTGTGACCTACTAATCTATTCAGGAAATTAAGTATATTTCTATTAAAATTTCTCCTCCCGTATCCACCTGGGGTGAAGCCCACAGAGCAGCTGTGGTGAGGGAGCAATTTTTTTCCCCTCCGCTGATGCTTGTAAGTGGAGTTAGAATATGAGAGAAGTACCTGGTGACCTCCTTAAAGAGACTGAACTGGGCCTCCTCCGTCCGGGTGATGATGGCAGACGTTCGTGCCCAGTCCTTTAGATGACTTCTCGAGCCTGCCCGTTGTCTGCGTGTCCAGAAGGGGACTCGCCCTGTTGGAGCCCAACGGCATTCGCCCTTGTGGAGAGTGCTGATGACCCACCGGGTGGGGCCGGCTAACCGCGAGCCCCAGGGCCACTGTGACCCGCCGTGCGGGTCACTTCCAGAACCGCGGAGGAGTCAGAGGGGTATCTGTATCTGATCCCCGGGTCAGCCCAACAACCCTGAAGGTAACCCTCTGAAATGTGCGGAAGCACCCCAGGGAAGTGTCAGCAGATTCTTCAGGACCTTCCGCGGGGCAGGGGGGCAGTGACTTAGGGGAAGCAGAGCTGACCCGAGGACTCAGCTCTCGAGCTCTGCCCTTGCACCGTCTCCACATTCTCTGAAAACAAGTCCTGTTCTTTTATGACAGTAAAATGTGCTGGACTCTTCTCCTCAGCTCAGTTGATTTCCCTTTCCAATCCCGCATTCCCTGAGCTCTCTTAGGAGAGGGAAAACGTCTCCTGAATTTGCTCCAAAGTGATTTTATTGCTGTGAGTGGACTTTTTCCTGGCTCCTCACATCTCTGATTGATTGCTGTTTCTAAGCACACAGAACGGATGCTGCAAAGGAGAAGCCAATCTGGGCTCTCTCTCTCGATTTGGTTAATTAATGTGCAGAGTAATCGAGAGCCAAGGCCTTTCAATGCCAAGAGTGGTGCGTTAGAATGTGGAGAGGGAGGGACACATTTGTTTTTTAATTTGGCGCTGGAGACAGTGGTTAACGACTCTAAGAGCTGCTTACCGTTCATCTCTGGGGCTTTTGCTCTTTGAGGTGTAGTTTGAGGATCCCAGGGAATATGAATTTAGGATGACTTTCTCTGCCATTATCTAGGAGTGTGCTTTCCTCAAGGGTAGCCATTAGCCACATGTGGCTATTTAATTTAACGTTAAATAAATGTTCAGTGTTTCGGTCATACCATAATCACATGCTAAGTGCTCAATAGCCACCTGTGACTGCCGTATTGGGTATCAGTATAGCCTATTTCTTGCAGCAGTGTCTCTTGAGTGGTGCTGGTCTGGAACACCACAACTTTACCTTTTAGAAACCTGTAAGGTGCCCTGGCTGGTGTGGCTCTGTTGGTTGGAGCAGCATCCTGTAAACTGGAAGATCGCAGGTTCGATTCCCAGTCAGGGCACATCCCTAGGTTGTGGGTTCAGTTCCCCAGCCGGGGTGCATGTGAGAGGAAGCCAACTGATGTTTCTCTCTGTCGTCAATTTTTCTCTCCCTCTCTCTCACTCCCTCTCCCTCTAAAATCAAGGAGCACACCCTCACATGAGGATAAAAAAAGAAAGTAAGAAACCAGAAGTCACGTGACCCACCTCCCTGGCCACCTTGACCGTGGCTTCTCCCACATCCTTTCCCCTGTCCGCGGAGGTGGTTGGACTTCACAATGAGACAGTATTCAGTAAGAGTAACACTAGAGAAGCATTTTCTAGGGAAAAAAAAAAGTCACATTTTTTAATAGTTCATACATTGAATAAAGGTAGCAAGTGATTAGATAATTATAAAAAGAGCAATTTTTGTGGAGTACCTGCTGTCTCCCAGGGTTTTGTTGTAAATGCTCTGCAATAGTCACTCTTTTAATCCTCAAATTAACCCTGCAAGGTATGGTACTATATATATTAGCCCTGTTTTTAGGTGAGGAAACTGAGGCACAGAGAGGTTAGATAACTTGGCCCCCAGTCACGAAGCTGATAGGTGGTTGGACTAGTATTTAGACCTGAGCCTTGTAACCCCAACTGCCTCTCATCTCTCTGCAAATGGCAACCAAATATCCTCCCCAAGAAGGAAATAGCAACCTGGTCAGAAAGCTATAGAAGGCATACTCAATGGCTGTTCAGGCTCTTACCATTAACCGTAGCAGATTCTAATGTTTTTGATAGCCCAGACACAGTAGAAATAAAACAACTTCTCAAAAGAAAGTCATGGTACTTTCTACTGTTTTGGGGGGGGATGGTGGGTAACGAGTCTTCAAGATCGGGAGTCAGCAAATGCGGGCCCACGGGCCGCGTCAGACCTGCTGTCTGTTTTGTAAATAAAGTTGGATCAGAACACCGCCCAGTGCATTTGGCAGGGGCTGCTTGCTCATTATCCTTGCAGAGCTGAGGGGCTGTTAACAGTTGTAACAGAAGTCATGTGACCCACAGAAGCTTAAACATTTATTTTCTGTCTCTTTACAGAAAGAGGGTGCCGACCCTGAGCTAGATCGCGTTCTCCAAGCATTCCAAAATAATTAGCATCTTCTGTTAGCAATGGTGTATTTTGGAACTTGAGCGATGACCCCAAATTGTCAAAAGGGACTGAATAATTTACTATTTGTGTTACTAGTCAGCGTGAACAAGTGCAGCCCCAGCTGCCTGCCAAGCACGCCGGGACCTCCACCGGCCCTAGAGCTTGGCATGTCACCCCCCCACCCCGGGTGCACACCTTTCCGCAACCAGACGCTGTACGTTACCTGTGTCATTCTGGGAGGGCCCCCGGGCCTGCCCACTCTCACGTTCTTGCCTGGGCCCACCCTTGTCAGGAGACGTGTCCCCCAAACGTTTGCTTCATGCTGCTCTCTAAGGGGTGTGAGCTAACATAGTCAATATTAAAGTGACACATGCTTCAAAATTTATATTTCATTACGAAGTCAGGATGAATAAAAGTTCTCCCAAATTTGCCTGCTAGACATTTTAAAAATAATTTCCCCCCTAATTATGAAAGGTGTATATGCAGAAAATGTGGAAGCGTCCCCCCCAAAAAGCCCGCTGCACAGTGCAGAGGTAGCCTCTGCTGATAGCTGAGTGTAGTCAACGGTTTTGAAGAAGAGTCTGCCACACCACATACATAAGTTTGTACCTTAATTTTTTTACATCATTGAAAATGTCTTAGTAAGTACTGTTTTTTAGTGCTGTGTAATATTCCATCATATGGATGTATGATAATTTACTAATAAGCAAACTCCTTTTCACTGGGCATTGAGGTGGTTTCTACTTATTTGCCATTATCAATAAACCATAGCGTCTGTCTTTGTACACATACATCTGTCTGCATCCTGGGTGTTTGCTTAGGACCAGATTCTCAGAAGTGCCATTTACTGACTGAGATGCCATCATTTTAAAACTTCTCAGATGCGCAAAAAAGGTCTTGTCATCTCTGACTAAATTTCCTTCTGACTCCAGAGAAGGCAGGACTCATTTGTGTGACTCTAAAACAAAGCCTTGTTACCACCCCTGTTTCGAGACTTACTATTAAAACAGTGGAACGAACAGTGCACGCCCACAAGAACACTCTGGAATTATCTGTTTACTGATTTGACATTTCTCTTTGGAGCCGCATCGCTTTCCTCATGGGAATGTTCTTTCAGTGCCCAGATTTTTGCCCAGAGATCCCCCTTGGTCTCTACTCTGTGTGGTCAGTCTGCCCTCCCCGACCCTGCTCTGTTCCCAGGTTAGCTCTTGCTGCTCTCCGGAGTTTTATGTGTCCCCTTGCCTACTGTCTGTCCCTGTTCCCTTTGCCCTGTCCTTCGTCTTACCCTGTTCCCTTGTCGTGCCTGAGTAACTCCTCCCCATAGGGCTCCATGCACATGAGGCTGGACACGGCGTTACAGTGACTCGTGCCACAGCATGCCATTTGCTTCATCCCCCACATTTTCCCGGGAGTCTCCTCAGCTTTGGGGCATTGGAGGGGAGCCTCGAAGGGACCCACGAGACCAGGAGGTCGTGTGGGGCCTGAGGAGGAAGGCCCACAGTGTTGGCGGGTGTGGCTCCATCTTTTGTCACACTAGTCGTTTGTATCAATTTGAACCCTCGACCGCTGCTGGTATGAGCTGGTGGCACCCCGCTCTAGGCTGCTAGCCCCTCCCTGTGTCACAGAGCAGCGATGCAGGGTCCCCGCCTAGCCAGGCGACCAGGCAGGTGCCCGAATTCCGTGGTGCCTTTGCAGGCTAACACGGTTAAGCAAAGCAGCGGACCGATGGCCTGTCCCTGGCACACAGAGAAGCGTTATACGTAGAGGCTGCATGTCAGTCCCTGTGTTTCCTTACACCGGGCACAGAGGACGCTGCTCCCCAAACCGCAGCAATTACATTTTGTGGGAAATGCCGCTTTGTGGCCAGGAACGCTGTGAAGAATCGTTTCCAGTTGATGCTGAGTTTAGCACAGCTGTCGCCACCACGACCAGCTGTGTCCTCAGACACGGACACCCAGACCGAACGCCACGCTTCCTCTGCTTCCTCCAGGTCCAGCACATACCGCCCCAAGGGCTTCGATGTCACCGTGAAGTATACACAAGGGAGCTGGACCGGCTCGGTGGGGGAGGACCTCGTCACCATCCCGAAAGGCTTCAACAGCTCTTTCCTTGTCAACATCGCCACCATCTTCGAGTCAGAGAATTTCTTTTTGCCTGGGATTAAATGGAACGGAATCCTTGGACTTGCTTACGCTGCCCTGGCCAAGGTAAGATGGATCCTGGGATATCAGTAAACTGAGTGATGTGAGGAGGTTCTGAAAAACCCATCAATAGAGGGGCCGGCGCGTGGGCCCAGGCTGTCTGAGACGGTTAGTTAGAATCACAGGGTTGAAACAGACCCCTGGGCCCACCGTTAATGAAATTTCTAAGCATTTTAACATTAAAGGTACAAGGCACAATTCTTTGAACCTTCCTGCAAGATATACTGATAATGTTACTTTTTTTGCTTGCCTTTTCTTTTTATCTATTTTACTCGTATAGTTCAAAAATATTCTATTAAGAACATCTGAATCGCTTTGATCGTGGTGTTGTCTAGGAGTTTTGGTTAGCGTAGGATTAAAAGAAAACACGTTTACTCAGTTCGTGCGTTCGCGTGAAGACGGAGCCCAGGGGAGACACTGGGACCTCTGCTGGGGGTGGTGGCCCGAGCAGGCCGAGAGGGCCTCAGGCTGCCCCCCACCCCGTGGCTCCGGACCACCTCTGGTAGGACACGTGCCCCCAGAGCACCGACAACCTGAGAGCCTGCCCTGGGGATCCCCGGCCACTTGAAGGAGTAACGCGCCCAGGAGGACGTCAGAACCTGGCTTTCACCAGCATGGGAACCTTCACACAGCAGGGGAGGACAGACTTGAACGGTCTCTCATGTTTTGACTGGGCCGACCGAGGGGAAGCCGTGCTGGTGTGCGGGAGGGAGGCTGGCCTGCCAAAGCCTGGAGAGTTTCCACCGGGAAGGGTAGCCAGAGGCAGGTGGGTTGGGCTCCGGGGGCGCCTCTGGGCAGGACACCTGAGCAAAGCAGAAGGAGGTCACCCCTCCTGCCTGTAACCGGGCACCACCACGCCTTGTCACTCCGGGTCAAGCATCGAACCAGAGCCAAGTGGGAAACAAAAAAGAAGCCTGGTCACAGGGGCAGCAGGCCTGGGGACAACAGGGCCCCACTGGTCCATGAGGATCCCAAAGGGAGAGCTTGTTTTCTTGCCTCCTGAGAACTTGTGTTCCAGCTCCAGTTCCCTAGCAAATGGAGCAGGCGGGGGGAGGGGAGGGGAGGGAAGGTGGGGGCAGCAAGCCAGGTGGCCCCAGCCCTGTGGCTGCTCCAGGAGGAAGAATAGCCCACGAGACACGAGGGGGAGAACATCAGACTCCCGCACCCACAGACTTTGTAAGGCCGAGCTATCCCCACTTTCAAGGCATGCACACAGAGCGTCGGGGTCTCCCCCTCGCCCAGGGCCACCAGAGCCACTGCGTCGTGTCGCACTCGGTCTGCGGGGCCCAGGCCGCTTCTGGAACCCCTTATTTTCTCAGCACCACAGGCCAGGCTTAATGGGAGACTCACAAACCGGTAATAACGTGCATTCCTAAGTATGTTTTCACCGACAGTGTGACCTTGGGCAAAACGTGTCATCTTCATGTGACTTTGAAAATGAAAGATATGGGTATGACGGTTTTTATGCTGATGATTTGGGAGATGGTAGAGAAAGGGATCTGGGATTACTAATCTCCCCTTGGCAATAAACTACTTGGGACATTGGTGGGGGGGGCGGTGGCTGTCCAGACCCCCCCGTGACCTTCATCTGTGAGATTCCAAGATTACCAACAAGGGGCTCCACATCCTGGGAGCTGAGGAGACAGTACTAGTGTGTCTAGGTAGCGAGGCCGGCAATGGGCCAGGCAGGGCGGTCCGGGGCGGTGGCCGCAGTTTCTGAAGCAGGCTGAGCAAGCAGGGGGCAGTGGCCACACTGCGTGGCAGTCCCCGGCCAATCCCAGATGCTGCCCTCCAAGGATGTGTATTGGAACCCCCCACCGGGTCTCTCCCATGGCAGATGCCTGGGTCCAACCACATGCCTCTGAATTGAGGTCTCTTGGTTGTGGAAACGGTGCTCTGAAACCTGTGCAGGGATCCTGGGCAGAGTCCTACTGAAGGATGACTTGACAGAATAGTGCCAGACCTCCTACTCCCTGCCAGGCACTGTGCCGAGTCCTTCATGGGACACCGACCCATTTAAGGCCCAGCACAGCTCTGGGAACCTATTATGATCCCCACTTTACAGATAAGGGAACAAAGGGGCACGTCACAGGGTTCGCAGGGGGTGGAGCCAGGATTCAATTCCGGGCAGCGTCCCGCTTCCTGCCTCTCCAGAGATGGACAAAGGAGGACACCAGAGTGGGTCAGCACCCGGCCCCACCCATTCAAGAGACACCTGCGTCTCACTCTCGGACCCAAACACAAGGGGCTGCGACCAAGATTACACAGAGATTGAACCGATTTCTCCCAGATCCGTAGGGGCTGAGTGGAAAAGACTACAATGAACTCAACAGATGGGAAGATTTATATCTATGAGATATAGATATCAGCTATATCTATACTGGGGCTCTCTTCTTCCCCCGCTCCAGAATTGCAGATAACAATTTTATTATGTTAAGATAATAAATGCTCATGACTTTGGTAACCATAGGTGGTTGGAATGTGCTTATAGCATCTGTGCTTCTGCAATTAAGTTCTCTCCAAGAGCTAGCAACACTCACGGTGACTAACTCTCATGTCTCCCAGTTGTCAAAGCCAATATCTAAACGCAAGTCAATGGCCCTCCCTTATGGCCACCAGCACCCGTGGTCCACCTCCAACTCCAACTCAGAGCTGTCCGTAAACCGTCCCTATTTCTTCTGAGTCCTGGAGAAACAGGGGCCTCCTCTGAATGTAGGGCTACATGTAAGGGAGGCACAGAGTGAAATGCGGCAATGGGAATAATACAGCTTTTCAACTTGAGGAGTATAGTGTGGTTCCTTTTCTGCGATACCCTGCTCACCAGAGTTCTATAGACAGCTGGCCCAGCTAAGCTGTGTGCCATGGTCTGGGATCTGAGATGACTGTCTCCTGGGCCAGTCACCTCTTATACAACCGCGGCTGAAAGAGGTCAATGTGAACTCCAGCCCCGAGAGGCCCTGTTCTCTCCTTCCTCCGAGATGTCTGCAAATAGAATCCACCCCCTGCCTCGGGAGCCCACTTCCACCTCTTCTAACGCCGACCTCCCAGGGCGGGCGCGATGATCAAGGTGACAGCATCCTAAGAGCTTCCGGAAGGGGCTCTTATTTTCACAGCACAGCCATACCAAAAGGAAAAACACCCAGTGGTAGGAAGTGCTGTTGGAGGTTTCTGAATTATCGTTGAGGGTACTTAACCATAAGCTTCATTGTTTAGCCATGAAAAAATCTAATACAAACATCAAGTGATGTCTACACGGGGTCATCCCCCATGTCGACTGTGAGTCATGAAGCGCTGTCCCTTTTCACCCTCCTACAGCCATCAAGCTCTCTGGAGACGTTCTTTGATTCCCTCGTCACACAAGCAAAAATCCCCAACGTTTTCTCCATGCAGATGTGCGGGGCAGGAGGGCCCGTAGCCGAATCCGGTACCAACGGAGGTAGTCTTGTGGGTATCTTTTAGTCTTAAAGAGGGGAAAACTCACACATTGTTGGGGCTCTTTTTTTCTGTTTAAAGATGCTTATAGAAATATTTTTATCTTTCCTACTCATCCCACCCTGCGAAAGGTGATTCTCGTTGCTTCCCCCAAATTCCATTAAAGCTTTTTAAAATTTTCCTTTGAAAGGTCATTGCTTTTGATGGATGGGGGAGGGGCAAGAGAGAAACAGTGGGGGATGTAGCCGGTGGGCCTTACCCTGGGGCGGAGAGGCAAAGGGGGACACCTGTGATTTCCTAAGTTTGGAGAGACAGGGGCACCTGTATATCCTTTCTCTCCCTCTGTCTCTCTCAACAAACACATACACACAGCAAAAGTGTTTGTTAATGAAACAATCATTCAAGGCCATCAGTCCTGAGTGTCCCTTTAATGGAACCTGCACCCAGATGTCTAAAGTAGGAGGTGGCAGGAGGATGCACAAGAGGGGGCCTCCCCCGGGCGGGTGCAGCCCACCTGACACCTTTGCCCTCCAGCTGTGAGCAGCTGGGCTGGGCTGCTTCCCTTTGCTAACAGTACCTCTGCCCTCAACACCCGTCTACCAGCCCCTTCAGGGAAGAGGGTAGCCGAGGAGCTGAGGGCTCAGGTTACACAGTTTTGCAAAATGAAGTCTGGATTGAGGAAGCTCCATTTTGCTCTGCTTTGCATGCAGATGTGTGGGGTAAGAGGTCACACTCGGTCTTCTGAGGAACTGAATGACTGTCAGTCTGGGTGGTTAACTGTTTCACTGCATTTCTTTGGGGGCAAAATCTCCATATTGTAAAGCTGGAGTTACATGTGCTTCCTTGAGAGTAGCAAAACCACCAAAGCATCTTGATTAGACTGGGGCAGAATTCTGCTTGACCTTTGGATGCATGGCCCCCAAGCATTCCCTGTTTAATTTTCAAGCACATGTATTTGTTTTGTAATACCAGACTGAAGTGAAAGTACTGATTCCAATGAAGGCTCGCCTTACAAGTAAGTGTGTGCTGCTTTGTGTAACAGGTTATATGCCTATGTCTTTTTTCTCTTATCCCTGTGACCCTTTTCCTTCCCAGGTCCTGGGTGGAATCGAACCAAGTTTGTACAAAGGAGACATCTGGTATACCCCGATTAAGGAGGAGTGGTATTATCAGATAGAAATTCTGAAATTGGAAATCGGAGGCCAGAGCCTTAATCTGGACTGCAGAGAGGTATCTATACTGTGAGCTTGTTGCACCTATCAGTCTGTGTGTGCCTGAGTCACCTAAATATTACAGCTGGGACCTGAGTACGAAATCAATGAAGGTATATTACATTGCAAGATAAATCAGAGATTCGTGACGTTAAAAGTTACAGGGACTTTTTGTATGGCAAGTTTAAATCAATGACCCCTCTCAAAAAAAAAAAAAGAAAAAAGAGTTTTCTTACCACCACTTGGCTTCAGGGGAAAATTAGCATAAAATGGTGAGTGAGAAGAATCTAGAGCTACACCTTTCGCCATTCATCTTGGACTGAACTCTGTTGAAGAGGATGCATTATACAAGTTTTTATCAGTGTGAGGGGACAGAGGGGAACTAAAAATAAGCCAAATTAAGCAAAAACTAAATCATTAGCTTTATCTATCCTTCAGAGCCACCCACCCCCCACCACAGGATGTCATTCTCGCTCGAAGAAAAGTTATGCTCTCGGGATACGTACAGTGTATGCTAAAAGGAGGCAGGTGTGCAGAGCTGTGGGACCAGAGCTCTTGAACCTGTTCACATCCTCTCCCTGCAGTGTGGCTTATTTGTGGCACGTAATGCCATTATGATCATGGTGTCTTGAGGGAGTCTCCATCTGCTACAACATTTTCAGGACGGTTTATGAAAACCACCAGCATTTCATTATACGGGGTCTGGCAGAAGTAACGCCTGCTTGAGTGTGGTTGGTAGGATAATGATGTGGGTGTAATAATTGATAGTTTTAATTTGAACACATCGCCTAAACTGTCATGTGCTGTGCTTGAGTGTGATAGTTTTATGTTACAGAATTACGTGCTTATGATTTTGTAATAAAAAGGGGCATGACGTGTGCCAGACCCGGTATTCCTACCTTATACCGCCAACCTTTTCATCCCTTCCTTTCATGTGCACCCTCTCAGTCCGCCCCAAAGGCCCATGTACACAGACGCCCTGAGAAACCCATGAAAACTCGATAAATGATGGTCCATCCCGCTGTGATAGTACTAAGTCCACAGATCTAAGTTGTCAAGAGGCACTTATTTGCCATTAAGGAATCCAGTGGTAGAATCCAAGGGCCTACAATAAAAGACAAACTGTGTACGTGTGTGTCTGTGTGTCTGAGCAATTCTCTTACTGAATGGGGCTCTGGTTCTCTTTTTCCATTGGTGCCATTATGGAGAGCTGACTTTGTGTGATCTGTGTAAATGCCATTGAATGTGTCACTGCAACCTCTGAAGACAGGTGGGCCTTCCCTCGTCGCCCATGGAACTCCTCTCTCTGACAAGGGAGCTTGGGTGCCTCTGCACGAAGGGCAAGCTCTGCACAAGGCAGGCTGCTGATTTTGGTCACGTCACTTCCCTGGCCTTGGTTTCTTTATCTGTGAAATAATGAACATTGAGCTAAAAGATCCTTGGTTTCCAAGCTCTGGGAAGATAAGATTAACGGTAGCCACCAGGAGGTCCCATGGCTGCCTGAGTCAGAGTATCACAGATGCACAGTGGTGGGGGGCTGGAACCGTGGGGGATCTGGAGCGCTGTGCCACTCATGTGCCCTCCCCCACCCTCCTTCTAGTATAACGCGGACAAGGCCATCGTGGATAGTGGCACCACGCTGCTGCGCCTGCCCCAGAAGGTGTTCGATGCAGTGGTCGAAGCCGTGGCCCGCACGTCTCTGGTGAGTTCTCAGGACGCTGGGGGATCTCGGGAAACCCCAGGTCGTGACCACATGTGGGACAGAGTCACCATGTAATCCTGTGGCCTCCATCTGAGGATTTGGAAGGGCTGTTTGTTTGTTTTGTTAACTTGTACTTATTAAGTTCACAGTCTTATTCTTTGATGGTAACCAGCAAATCATTCTTCGGTTTTAACCTGGGAGGACTTGGATCAAATAATAGTGTAGTTGGTGCAGTACATTTTTTTCATCTAAGAAAATAAACACTTGGTAATATACCATCTTAAAGTAAATAGTAAGCCAGGAATATGCTTGTAGCCTTAAAAGCTAAAGAAATAAACCAAAAATCCTACTCCTTTTAGGTCTTCATTCAAGCTGTGAGGGGATTTTAATTCTGTGAAAAAACGAGATTCACAGAAAACGAGGACCAATCAGCCCTTATAATGATTACAGGATGGTCATGCTCAGTAATCCAGTGAAATCCTGGTCAAGGACAGTATGCCTTCTGGGGACCTGGCTGACGGTATTCCCAGTGCAACCCCAGCTTTCCAGTCCAGGGCGTCCGAGGGGACCAAATGGCATTGATTGGAGAGAACACAGCTTTGGGGGTCAGAGGGAACTGCATGTACCCTAATGTCCATCACGTATTAGCAGAGGGTCTGGGGAGGGGCCTTGTGCCCTCTGACAGCCTCCACGTTCTCAGCAGGGTTGTTCAGAGATTTGGGGTCAAGAGCCTGGCCCAGCACGTGCTCGGTAAAGAGAAGGTTCTATCTGATGTCCAAACCCTGGTGCCGCTCCGGATTGAGGGCCAGATAAACATTTCTCTCAGCTTCTTGGGTATTTTTTATAAGCATCTGTCCACACGAGGCCACCCTTGCAAAGTCACCAAAAAAGGAGTGTTTCCTGTACTGACTCAGGCTGACGATCTCGTTCTTCCGTTGGGATGGCCGAGTACAAAGAACAGTTGATAGGAGGATGAAGAGCAGTCACTTTATTACAGGTGATGACGGAAACCTGGGGAGGCAGAGAGGGCTTGTTGTCCTGAACCACAACGTCAAAATTCTACATCTGCCACGGGCAGAGCAGCAGACAAACCAGAAGAACGCAGCCGGAAAATAAACAAGAACGAACACAGAGTCCTTTTCGGAATGAAACAGTCTTCAAGGCAGCAGCCCAGAGTAGTCTAGTATCTGCTGAATCAGGGGGAAAAAATGGCTTTGAAGTTGTTAGAGCCTTAAATTTAGCAGGCCAGCTGCACATCAGACCGTGCTGGAAATACAGAGCAATCTGCTGATTTTCCTCAACAGTGACTAAACCCTCAGCAGAGCGAACACGAGCATCTTCTCATGGAATGTTCCGAGCTGCACACACTTTACCGCCGTGCCAAGGAAAGGCTCGAAGCATCCGGAGCCATGAGGACGCGGGGCTGTGGCTGACAGGCGCTGGCATTCCTGAGGACATCGTAGCATGTGTTCGGCAGCAGCTGACTTTGGAAGAAAACCACGAGGTGGAAGAAAATTCCGAAATGTGTTTGCTTTGTTGAAAAGAATCCCGTGATTTCAGTGTCTGCGTCAGGGAAGAGAAGCCTGGGTATGGGGCTGGTCCTGGGCTGCACGGCTGCGGCGCGAGCTCAGCAGGGGTGCGTGCTGTTTCTGTCTGTCTCTTTGCATCTGGACAAAAGAAGTGTCTGTTCTTTCTCTCTGCTGGGTTCATCGAAGGCGCTCTCTTGGCTCGGGTTTTCTTTCTGGCTAAGGACGGGGCTGGCTTCAGAGAGGAAAAACAAGACAAATTTTGCGCTCTGGCTCCTGACGTGGAATGTCGAGGTGGGATTTAGCAATGAGTAGTTGGTAGGTCTGTGTTCTGAAATGAGCTCGGCGGGGGTTTTGTGTTCGGGGAGACCTGGCTCCATTTCTGCCCAACAGTGGTGCCCATGTGGCTCAGGCTGGGTTCTTCCGGCCCTAAAATGCAGGAGAAGCAGGATCACTTGTGCGTTATGGGGACTTCTGACATTACAACTCTGCGACCTGAGGTCAAAACTGTCCCCCACGTGGCTCAACCCCTGGAGGTTTTCCAGGATCCTTTGGAGGCAGAAGGTCCCCCATCCGGCCCTGGGCTGTGCCCCGGAGGGAAGCTGCTCGGCCCCTCTGAGCTTCTTTGCCTGCGGTTGGACCGGCTCTAGTGCTGACGTTGGAGCTCTGGAGGCAGGCCTGGCCACCTTTCCAGCAAAGTGACTGCCCCGCCCCTTCTCAACCCGGCTGGCGAGAGATGGGTCTCTACAATGCCCATTTCAAATCGACTTAACTGGTATAAAAGGAGAAACCATACTAATGCCAGCCTCAGAAATTTTACACATCACTCACGAACAGTCCAGAGGGACAACCTTCAGCGGACAAAGAGGCCACAGTATATTTTCTCCCTTTGTCTCCTGGGAGGCAGGGAGGGCCGGCACCTGCCTGTGTGCTTGTGTAGCACTGACACCTGACATTCATCTGCTGACAGCACCGCTGAGTCCTCAGTCCTCACCTGGCTCATCTCCACAGCGTCCTGGCTTGCCCGCCTCGGCTTCCTTCACACCCTCCTCCTGGCCTTCTTCCCATCCCTGGGCCCTGCTTCGGTGGGGGGGTCTCTTGGGCCGTCCCATTTTTCTGGGTGGGGCCTAGGCCCCCCCTCCTTCCTCTCTCCTAAGTTGTCCCATCCACAGCCACATCACCGCCCCTTGCCCTGCCTTCGTCCGTGGGTGACTCTGGAATTCAGCTGTTTCACCCTGGCCCTGCCCCTAGACTTTGGCTCGGGAGAACAAGCGGCCTGCACACCGGGATGCCTTAACCAGAGCCAGTGCGCCGCAGAGCTCCGATCTCTGATAAGTGATTTCTGATTCATGCACTATGGTGCCCTGGTTCTCTCCCAACCTGTTCGCGCTCTGGCCCCTTCCTGACCTCGGCACCATCGCCCACTGCCGTCTCTGCGTCATCAGGCGGGGCGGGGCCTCTGCCCTGCCCTCCCTCCCCCAGCATTCCTCACCAACGCCCACTCACCCTTCCACTCTGCTCAGGTCCTTCTGCCTCAGGGACACTCCCTGGACAAACACCTCCCTTCCTCCCTGTCAGTAGCCTCCTAGTTCTGCCCCCACGTGACTGGCCATCATGTGAGCAGGGCTCTGTGCTGGAAGGGACGCAGATGCTCGAAGAGGGGCCTCCGGCACAGCCCTCCCTGTGGGAGCCGGCAGCACAGGGCAGGCCCACCCAGGCACCTTCCCTGGTCCTGGTGAGATGGCGTGGCTGGAACGTGCAATTAACCCTACGCATTCAGCAACTGGTGGGCGAGCGTGGGTGCCACTGCCCTTCCAGTCCCCTGATGAGAGGCACAGGAGGACGATCTGCATTCCCAGCCTCCCCCCTACCCTACTGCCATTCATATTTCCTGCAAATCTTCCCTGAGTCTCTCCAACTGGCTGGGTGTTAGGACCACAAGGATATGCCAACAGCAGGCCTCCTCTGTCCTGAGAGGACTCAGATCCTAGTGCAGGAAACAGAAGTTAACGAATCGCAATAAATGTCCAACTGTGACTGCTGCAGGAAGGGGACACCCAAGAGGGATCCAGCATTATGTGGGGGATTCCGGGGGGGCTTCCTGGATGAGGCGTCACCTGAGCGGCAATCTATCCGGAGGAGGAGAAAGATGCGCCAGAAGCGCTCTGCACAGGGGGACACTTGCTGGGCACAGGAAAGTCCAAGCAGAGGTGATTTCAGAAAGGCCCTTGGGGGCCACGTGTAGGATCTGGTCTCTCTTTAAAAGGGCCATTGCCAACTACTGTGTTACCTTGGGCAAGTCACTGCACCTCTCTGTGCTTTGGTTTCCTCACCTGCAAAGTAGATGGCACGATGTTACCTCGCTGATGGCGGTGTCTGAGGGTTAAAGTCATCATTCCTGCAACGCGCTTAGGATGGTGCCATGCTCCACGTGCCCCAGGAATTTTAATCATTGTTACTCGGTCATCGCTGTCCCTCTTCCAGAGGGCTGATGTCTCCACCACGCTGTCCAAATGAAACGTTGTTTATCCCCACGGGCATCTGGCAGGGTGACAACGAGTGCCGGGAGCTATTTCCTGTAGATGTGCGAGACTAGTCCTTGTTTCTCTCGTGATCCTCTTTTTGTCTAGATTCCAAAATTCTCTGATGGTTTCTGGACGGGATCCCAACTGGCATGCTGGGCGAATTCCGACACACCTTGGTCTTACTTTCCTAAAATCTCCATCTACCTGAGAGCCGAGAACTCCAGCAGGTCCTTCCGCATCGCCATCCTGCCTCAGGTAGGAGCTGGACTTGTGCTTTGCTCTCTCTAACGCGTAGCATGCAAAAGTAAAGCGCTTCATGCATAATGGGTGTGTTTCGATGTTACCTTCGCGTTAGCACCGAGGAGATGTACGACGGTGCTGCAGACCGAACAGCCACGAGAACCAGCAGCCTTAATCAGTGAGCGTTACCTCCTGCTCAGGACCCTGGGCAGGTCTGCAGGTTGCACAGGCTGGCTCCCCTGTGGTTGGCTGCGGCTAGGCTGGCCTTGGTCTAGGATGGTCTGCCTCTCGCATTCCTGGCGGCTAAGTCAACGGGGCCGTTGTCTCACCATCCAGCAGCTGACTCACGCAGTGGTGACAGGTCCTGGGAGAGAAGAAACTCAGGGCTCCTGAATGTAGGCCCAGAAGGAGCCGCCCTCCCTGCATGGTGCTGCCCACACAGGGCCAGGCCGGCCCAGATCCCCAGGAGGGGGAGCAGAAGCCACCTCCCTGACGGGAGGAGCTGCAAACTCACATCACAAGGGTGCGGCGACAGGAGAGGTCAAGAATTGAGGACATTTTTGCAACATCCACCACAACACCAACATATGGGTCTTTCCTACTTACGTATAAATAGAGAACAAAACTGGATTCTCCGAGAGGAAGGCATTATTATTTTTCGGTATTCCTAAATCATTGCTTCCTGCTTCATCCCGAGCATCTAATCATATAGACCAAGCTCTGCCCCTTCCTCATGTTCTCACCTCGTCCTCGTCCCCTCCTTCCAGCAGCTGTCATCACTCACGTCACTCACGTCCCCCTCCACCCCCTCGGGAACCTCCAGGGTGCCCTCCAGGCAGCCCATGTCCCCACTCTGTTTTTGTGTTCATCTCCCTAAACTACAGCTTTCCATCCCACTATTTAAGTGCTGATAGTCTCCTTCCCTGGTGTGGCTTTCGATGACCTACCTCCACGCTGGACCCTTCCACACCCTTGATCCTCCCTCCGTGCACCGGTCACTGTGCCTGCCCCCACCTCCTGACCCCTGGACTCCACCCTCCAGGCCGGAAATGCCCTCTGGTCCCCATTCCATCTGTGTATCTAACTCCCTCCCAACCTCTAAGACCCAACTCAAACAACCCATCTTTGGCCGAACCTCTGCTGAGCAGAATAACCCATTTGTGAGCTTGCCCTTCAAACTCATAATGTATGTTTTCTAGATGGCTCTTCTGGCCTGGGGTCATCTCTTTAGGATGTATTTTATGCTCTTGTCTTTTTCCTTTGACTTCCGTTTTCTGAAAAAAACACACACGCACTTATATTTCTTTCTCAATTCAATTAAATCTTTTAAGATGAGAACCCTGCGTTTTAAAGGCCGCCCCTAACACAGCCCTAAGGGCAGGGCCCAGCCACTGTGGGTTAAATGGATGAGTCACTGTGTCTTTGTTGTAATCTGGTGAATTGGGAATAAAAGAGCGGGGGTAGGGGATGGGAAGGGAGGACGAATTTCAGAAGAAACAAGTAAATGATAATACTGCCGTCCTCCCTTTCCAACTCTGTATGGGGGGAAGGGTGCGTTCCCTTTGGGGAAAAGACTGAAATACAGCCCAGCGCGTGTCGCCTGCTCTGAGGATGGAGGCCGGCCGTAGGCGCTCTGCGCTGCCTGTGACTCACACTACAGCTCTAAGCGGGTCCCTTAGCTCTTTCTGTGTCTGCCTCTTTAACTATAAAGGAGAAATGATAGTACAATATTTGCCAATGATATTTTCTGAAGGCGGCCATATCCTTGGGTGAGCAGCACTGCAAAGAGTGATGTTAGAGGGGTGTGCTTTCAGCATCTTTACAGTAATGTACTCTTTATGATGACACTTTGGTCCGCCAGCCATCCAAATGCGGTCATCATTTCATCCATGTGGCTTGGAAGTGCAGTGGAAACCTAGCTGGGGGACAGAGGTGGATGTGTGCTGAGAGACAAGTGGCATGTGGGTGGCTGGCAGAGTCAGGGACTCCTAAGGTGCAGGAGAAAAAAGCAGGCATTAAGGGGAAAAAGCTCTTACGCCAGGGCAGGTGATAGCCATCAAAACCGAAGGTTCACTGGGGACAGTCACCGCTTTTAGGACCCAGCACTAAGTGGGTGTGGAAGACAGGGAGGCAGCTTTAGGAGGATCGCATCCATTTGCCTATCTCTGCGTGAGAACTCAGCCTCTTTCTCACGTATGAGACAGTGGACTTTTTTTTTTTTTTTGGTTGACTTTGACATGTTCACATTTTTGGTTTTTAAATATCAACTTTCCTCACTGGTTTTCGTTTGTTATTATTTTTTTAATTCAACATCGCCCCGTGTGCTTTCCGTCGCCCAGGTAGGAAGGACACGGATGCACAGTCCTGAGCAGCCACCCGATGAGAACCTCACAGGCACCCTCTGCTGGTGACTCCCCCCTCAAGGACAGCACTGAGGTCATCTCTTCAACCCCAGGCTCTGCAAACCTGAGCCCTTTCCTAACATTTAGGGCAATCACAGGGCTCCTTGTCACCAAAGTATTAGACCAGGGCCCCTGCCCGGGACCTTTCAGGCACCAGCAGTGGGGGCTGGGCATGTGGCCGCTAGGGCAGACGAGACTTGTATCAAAAGCAACAACCTTGGGCTTGGTCTGTCACCGACACCATTTTCCAAAAATGCATGAGCTGAATCCTCTTTGGCTTGTTAAAAAAACCAATCCCCAGCTTGCAGACAAATTCTGATTTTTTTTTTTTCCACATAACTCTATACATGTAAATAGTTTCAGTCTAAATAGCACTGGTTGGTCTGTTTGTGCTCATTTTAGTTTCAGGAAGACAGTTTATTCTGGGATCCAGAAACACTGAAGCTTTCCTAGCATGTTACAAATTTATAGTCTGGAGTTCTTATTCGAAGTCAGCCAGGGGACACAGAAAGGACAGAGTAAAAGATACAAATTTCTGTCTGCATCAGTAGCCTCAGCTTGTACTTGGTAATTGGTTGGGTTTCATTGTGGAGTTAGTTCATTCAGGTAGAGGGGTGTGTGTTTCTGTTTCTGTGGCAGCTAAATGCCCCCCTGACCTTTCATTTCAGTTGCTCCTCCTGAGAAGCTGTACATTTCATTTAATACCGATCAAAACTTAGCTCACGCATTCATTTTACATGAATTTCTTGAGGCCTTCCTATATGCCTGGCATAAGTGAGGTGCCCAGGCGCCGAGCATATAGTGAGGGATAGAAAGAAGGATTCTTTGCCTGGAAGAAGGTGTACGGACAGACAGACCGATCCGTGCAGAGTTCTGTCTGCTGAAACGGTTCGCTGGACACAGCAGCTGCTTGCTGTCTGGCAGCCGGTGATGCCAGGAACGGCCACCCCTGTGTCCCTGCTCCCTCTCTGCCTTGAGGCGCTTCTCCCCGCAGTCTTCCCTGCACATGAAGTACACCGGCGGTCACCGTCCTCGGGCGTCAGTTTTATCCCATGCGTTTTCTCCAGCACAGCTTCTGGTTTCCTTTCACGTTCCAATTTTTCAGTGCTGTTCTAGGGCTTCCCAATCTAACGACCTGCACTCCGACCAATTAGCCCCCCACCCCACACCCCACCACCCCTACTCCCCACCCCCGCTCGCGTCCAGTCATGAAACGGCAGCCCCCGCCCCCAGCCCCACTCATTTCAAAATCCCTACCTCTCACATTCCCACCAGCCACAGGACCCAGGGCCGCCCCTCTGTGAGTCTCAACTTGTTCCTCCAAGTTTTTCTTAGTGCTTTTGCCCTTTAGGGCAAAGTCCTTGTCACTTACTTAGTGCTATATTGCTTTTTTTTTTTCAAATATTTGTCATTATGTCCTCCTAAGCCACTCTCTTCTCTTAATTGCCTACCTGTTAGTACTTGGCCATTAAAAAACAGAGGGCTTGTTGTTACTGATATGATATTGATTTGCTCACTGAGGGTTTTCAGTTTTGACTCAAGTCCCCAGAGACTCCTCAAGGGCCACCTCTGGTATTTATTTAACCCTGTCCAGCCCTGCAGGGCATGGTCCTCACACTGGCCAGAACTTCTCGGCTGGGGGTGCTGTGTCCTCTCTTGACTGTGATGGCTTCTGCCTCTCATGCTGAGCAAGTCACCTCACTTGTGTCATGCTGCCTCTCGGACAGAGGGTGACACTGTCACTTTGGAAAGGTGGCATCCTGGGCCTGGTTAGGAACCTTTGTAGCAGACCGTGCAAGAAGGGGACGGTGATGGCCTGGACGGGGGTGGTGGCCATGGAGAAGGGGGAAGTGATCGCGTCAGGTTCCGTTTCAAAGGACGGCTGAAGAGACACTGACTCAGTGCCCCGAGGCCTGAGGTGTGGGTGTGCCGTGCACTTACAGGGGACCTTGACAGAAGAGCAGATGGGGCAACAGCCTGTTTTTTTTAAATGTTACACTTGAGATGCCCGCTGAGTGATGGGTGGGCAGGTGGACAGTGTGGCCATGACTACAAGGATCTGGGCTGGACGTAAAGATTCGGGTGCCTCAGCCCAGAGCACAGGAGATGTCCTGAAGGCTGTGGGCAGTGCAGGTCCCCCGGGAGGGACGATGGAGAGGGAGCCAGAGCTCTGGGGTTCTTGGATGCTGACAGGTGAGGAAGGCGATGCAAATCCAGTCCAGGTACCTGCGAGGGTGCAGCCAGTGAGTTAGGAGGAAGAAGAGAGGACCCTGCCTTAGAGACCAAGCAAAGAGTTGGATGAGGAGAGAGTTAGAAGGCCAGCATTAGCGGCAGAAGGGACCTGTTGGAGCACTTCTGATTTGGTCTTTACTTACCTGCCTCCCCCATAGATGGCACACTTTGGTGGCACAGAAGCCATGTCTTACTCATCCTGTGTTGCTGGTATCAAGGATAGTGTCTTGGCCATATGAAGTGCTCAATAAATAACTGGTGGGCAGATGGACGGATGGATGACTAGATGGATGGATGGACGGATGGATGATGGGTGGATGGAATCTTCTTACCATTGTACCCGTGTGCAGTTACAGGTCGCATACACGTTTCTGTCACTTTCAGTTATGTTTGTCACCATGCTTATGATCTCAACTCCTCAGTGGCAGGGCCTGTAATTTCTTCCTTCTCTGCAGCACCCCGTAGCACCTGGGAGGGTCCTGAACACACCGTGACCATGACAATAGTGTGACGTTGCCTGATGTGCTCTTTTTCTCTCTTGTTCCTCTTCCCTGTTACACAAACAGCTTTACATTCAGCCCATGATGGGGGCCGGCCTGAACTACGAATGCTACCGATTCGGCATTTCGCCTTCCACCAACGCGCTGGTGATCGGTGCGACCGTGATGGAAGGCTTCTACGTGGTCTTCGACCGAGCTCGGAAGAGGGTGGGCTTTGCGGCAAGCCCCTGTGCAGGTAAGCGGCGCTCCCATCAGACAGGGCGACGGAGCTAGAGTGCTTACGTCAACTCGCTCACTTGGAAGCACTTCTTGGTCAGTCAGTTGCCATTGAATTGATTCGCTGCTGCCCGTTCCCCGTGATCGAAGGCTTAGCGATACAATGCGCTGTGTGTTGCTGAGAGGAAAGAGTGAGGTTACCTGGGTATGACTGCAGCGCAGGACTCGGCGCGTGGCAAGCGCTCAGTAAACGCTGGCATCCCGGTGCCCTCTCAGGTTAAACTTGCTGTGGCACCTCGTCCCAGGAATAAAAGTACTCCAAGGGGCCTGGGGGAAGGGCACAGTGTTTGACAGTGGATGCAAAAGGGTGAAGGAGAAAATTCATAGATAGGCTGTGAATAATATCCCCTCAAAGAAATCCTATGAAATAAGAAGTAAATGCCCATCTTCACTAGTTCTCGAAATGAGACCAAGGAGCCCATTTTCCAATAGAATTCCTTAGACGACATGGCACAAGGGCGGCAGAGCAGCGTTATTCTGCGAAGCCTGACTTGAGGCTCGTCCAGGTCTTTGGAGACACCGGAGGAGCGCAGTGAAATGGGTTGGGTGGGTAAGCGCCTGACACTTGCAAATGCCTTCAGAGGGGACAGGCGGCTCGGGAGGGAGTGTCCCCACTGCCCATGGTTTGGTGGGAGGATCGGGTATTTCTGACCAACAGCCGAGCTACCAAGGAAAAGGCAAGTCATAGATGGAATGCGGGAGACCAGGGGAGAAAGTACAGGCACAGACAGCTGTTGGAGAGCCACCACGCCTCCAGAGGGCGTCAGAGGGCTGGAAGTGTGTGGTGCATCGGTCAAGGTCAGGAACTGAAGGAAACCCTAAGCTGTGCTCCTAACATGCCAAGGGCTGGAATAGCGAAGCAAATGGGAGGTAGAAAAAAGAGCCAATGAGAAGGAGGCACAACAGAAGAAAATTGGGGGTTATAGTGAAATACAAGATCACCATGTAGTGAAAGAAGGGAAGGAGGAATTTGATGAAAGCCTTCAACCTGAGATATACTGTATTTTGCCATGTATAATGTGCACTTTTTGCCCAGATTTTTGAGGGACAAGTAAGGATGCGCATTACCCATGGGTAGTACGCGAAATGCCTTGTAGCTGTTCCTGTGTTTTGTAATTACTTGTTACGTAAAATTTCTTGTACCATAATATGTTCAAAAATAAATGCCAAAATTCCTTTATAGTACAGAAAAACAAGTATCTAAATGTAAATAAGTAAATAATGGAATTAAAACATAAGATTTTTTTCCCCCAGAAACTTGGGGCCAAGAACGTGGGTGCGCATTATGCACAGCAAAACCCGGTAGGCGCAGGACAGGCAGGACTGCTCACCGACCAGCCAGACCCTCACTCTGATCTGAAATCAGCCTGAGTTCGGGGGGAGGATGGTGTGCAGGCAAAATGCCGAGCACGGCCCATTTATTCAGTGTGGGGGGGGGGAGATTTTCTGCTCTTACTCCTTACCACCCCCATCGTGGTCTTAAACTGGGAATTCTGGGAAATACAGTAGGTGAGCGAGTCTTCATCTTCCTGGGTGAGCACACTCGTTCCTGCAGAGTTAGTTGATTTGGAGAGCAGAAGAGAAATATGAAAAGGGAAAATTACATCTGGAATCTTAGGCCCGTTTCCTGTCCTATGTAAATAAAATCACCCAATCCACGTACATATTTGCGATGTGGTGATGTCCCTTCTTAGATGTCAGTGCGGCGTTCTTTGTATTTGTGACCAGACTCGGGGGCCTTGGGACTTGTCATTTTTTAATCTTGGTCATGAGTGAGTGGGAACCTTTCACAGGGGCATTAACTCTTTCAGTCTGTTTGCTTTTCGCAAAGGGGGGTCATGTGTTAGCCGGGGCTGTGCAACCAGAAACGCCGCATCGCCCAACGGTGGCCGTTTTACTTCTTTTAACCCAGGGAATCTGAGAACCAAAGCAATTTCCCCCACAGTTCCTGTTCTCTCGTTAAATACTATCAAAGTCGAGGCTACTATGGCAACAGCGGTCACATCGTCCACTTCAGTTAATGCTGCTGAGATGTCATCCCCGTCTGCTCCTGAGGGAAGTGCTGTCGGAAACAGTTACAATATTAAGTGTTTCTAGGCAGAGACGTTCTCCTGAATTTCACCATGAATCCTTGGATAGGTGCTCTCAGTCAAGTTTGTTGTGGCTATTTTTTTGAAAATGTAGTTAAGGTTTGGGTGCTCAGCCATTCGATTTTAGCAGTGGGGCGAACACACTGCTGTCTCCCCTTCAGTGCCAGCAGCTTAGTCATTAAAGCCATCGCTTGGGGGCTGCAGTTAGGAGCCAGATATTGGTCTGCGGCTCCACAATCAGCAGAAGAGATAGCCTGCCCTTTTTTTCCATTTCAAAGCATTTATTTTTCATTTATAACATGTTCTAAATAACAAAGAAAATGCTTAAAGTCACACAGAACTGTATGCTATGTACACACATACAGAACACGCAGGTTTAACAAATGCAAACATGCTGTCATATTTTCTTCAAATGTTTGTCATAGAAATAAAAAAATAAGTATAGTTAAAGCCCCACCTCACCGCACTCCCTAGAGCTACCCTTTCTCCTGAAGTTGGTGTATGTTCTTCTCATATTTACTGTACGTTTATAATTTCACTGCATCATTACAAGTACCCTGGGTTATTTTCTATTGCTGTGGACCAACTTGTCCCCTGTTTAGCACTTTATGAGCCTGTGTCAGGAATTGAAGGGGGCTTAGCAGGGTGGTTCTGGCCCAGGGTCTCCCCTGAGACTGCAGCGCCTGCAGGCTGGAGGGTCCCCTTCCAGGCTCAGTCATGTGATTGCTGCCAGCACCCCTCCTTCCTTGCCACATGGGCCTTGCTACTGGCCCATCTGAGTGTCCCCTAAATGGGTCCGTGGTCACCCCAGAATAAGTGATCCAAAAGAGAGAGGGTGCAACAGAGCATCTAAGACAGAAGCCAGTCATTTGTAAACTAATCTTGAAGTGACATGGTGTCCCTTCTGCCCTATTCATTTGGTAGGTGGGTAAGGAGAATACACAAGAGTAAATGCCAGGAAGTGGGCCATTGAGGGTTATTCTAGGAGCTGACGATCCTATACCTATAAATAAGTATTTATGACAAAACATGGGTTGGTCATTTGGACTTCTCGGTATTTATTAATTTATAGGAACGCTGTTGTATGGTACATATCCTTTGTCAACTTGCTTTTGTTGTTCAACATTACTTTTTCTAGATTGCCCACATTGCTACCAGAGCTAGGTCGTTCGTTTTGACTGCTGTATAGCATTCCGTTGTGTGAGTATACCCAGGAGACTCACCCAATCCTGCCTTGACTCACATTTTGGTTGCTCCTAACATCTGCAGCTCTAAACAGTCCTGTGGTGAACAGCTTTGTGCACAGGAATGAGGTCTTCTGGGAATGGAATTTCTAGATGATTCGGTGCTCCAATCAGAGTCACTGGTTCCTGTCAAATTTGTCTTCAAAGTAGATGGACCGCCAGAATCATGTCGGAATTTCCATTCCATCAAAGGATTATCATAGTTGTTTTGGTGTTTGAACGACCTATCTGTATGAAATAGTATTATTTTAATTGATTTCTTCTGAGATGACTTAACTTTTGTTATGTTTATAGGGTGTTTGCGCTTCTCTGAAAGTGGATTTTTCTATTAACTCCTTTTGCATGTTTTTCTACTTACCCTTTTTATTGATACATGTGAGTTCTTAAACATTGGAGATTAATTTTTCTGGGTTATGTGCATGGTGTGAATCTCTTTTTAATCTCTCTGACCTTTTTTTACTTGTTTTTGGTGTCTTTTATTTACATTTTTTTCTTAAATTCAGTGAAATAAAATTTACTAATCTTTCTTATGGCTTTTTCTCTGCTCTTATTTAAGAAATTCTTCCTTAATCTAAGAAAATGGTTATTTTTTTAAGTATACTATATACTTTCTATTTTTTTCTAAAATGTGACGTAGGAACTTAATTCTTATAAGGCTATTCAATTTCCTCAACATCACTTACTGAATATGTAGTTTCCCCTCTGATTCTTCTAGATATTTTATTATGAAAAATCTTAATATATATTGGCCATTCTCTCTTCATCTGTGTTCAATCTCTTTAACCTATTTAGTGAATTTTTAATTACATTAACTACATTTTTTATTCCTAGAAATACTATCTTGTACTTTTTCAAACATACTAGCTCACTTTTTTGTAGCGTTCTGTAATTTGTTGTAGCTTGTATTTTCTTTATATCCATTATCGTTTTTAATTTAATTTGAAAAGTTGCCTGGGTAATTTTCAAGTGCTACAATGAGCTACACAGCGACCCACTCAGAGACAATCATATGAGTACATAAAATGCTCCTTCATTATTATTTTTTCAGCCTTATCATCTTGTGTTCTGTGGAGGGTTCCTAATTTATTTCGCCCGTCATTACTGGTAGACGTCTGGGTCGTTTGCCGTCCTTCAGTGGATACCATTTATATATGTCTGCTCACACGTATGGACGTATACCTCTAGTGAGATTGTTAGAAGTAGAATTGCTGGGTTAAAGGGCATGAGCATTTGTCATCTTGATGAGTATTGTCACATGGGCTCCGTAGAGGTCACACGGGCTTACATCTGGCTGAACAAGCCCTCTGAAATACCGGTTTCCCCGGGCAACCTCGCCAGCTTGGTGTTACCACACTGCAGGGAATTTTCCCATCTGATAGTTGGAGAATGTTATCGCAGGGTCAGTTTAATTTGTTTTACTTTATATGGGTGAGGTTGAGTTTATTTTCATATTTCTAAGGGCATTTGTCCTTCCTTTTCTGTGAACTAACCACTCGTATCTTTTTCCCATTTTTTTTTCCTGTTGGGTTTTCAATTTTTTGTTTTTTTCTGTAGGAGTTCTTTATGTGATTAAGAAATTAACCATTGGTCTGGAGAAAAAAACTATAATTCCTGTCTCAATGTAA